AGGAACCAAAAGGGCCATGAGCACCTCCACACAAACAGTCACCGAACCAGAGCAGCCTAAACCGGTAGAAGTTGCCCCCATTCAGAAAAAGAAATCAAAAAGCAAATCAGTCCGCATAGTGACTGATGAGGGTGAGGCAGGACCTTCACACGCAGCGGAGGAGACAGAACCAGAGATTATCACTCGCTCTCTATCCCTAGGTGAGCTGCGTGACCTGCGGAGGGAATTCACCCGCCAGACGAACGAGTCCATCCTAACCTGGCTGCTCCGCATCTGGGACGCTGCAGCAAACGACACCATCCTGGATGGAAGTGAGGCCAGGCAACTGGGATCGCTGTCCCGGGATGTGGTCATTGACCAGGGGATTGGGAGAACCCAAGAAACTCTCAGCCTCTGGAGGCGACTGCTGACAAGTGTAAGGGACAGATACCTCTGCAAAGAAGACCTCCAGGTGCACCAGGGAAAATGGAGCACAATGGAACAGGGTATCCGATGCCTGAGGGAGTTGGCTGTGCTGGAGATCATTTTTGCAGAAGATGAGAGATTTCCTAAGAGCCCAGATGGTGTCCAGTGCACGTCACAGATGTGGCTGAGATTTGCACGGCTTGGACCAGAGATGTACTCCCGTTACCTGGCAACACTGCAATGGAGGGAAGGTGAGGACAGGGTGGGTGTCCTGGCCAATAAACTAAGAATCTACGAGGACACTGTCACTGCCCCGTTTCGCACCCATGTCTCATCTGTGGAAACAAGGCTGGCTGAGCAAGTCCGGAGCTTGATTGAAGAGGGCCATCAGAAACTAAAAAAGGAACTTAAGGAAGAAATTTACCACGTCTCCCCAGAACCAACAAGAGTCTCTGCTATTAGGAGTAGGCATTCCCCAGCCAGGGAGAAAGGATACACTCCACGAGGTAACCTCTGGTTTTTTCTCCAGGAGCATGGAGAAGACATGAGGAAGTGGGATGGAAAACCCACCTCCTCCTTAGCAGCCCGGGTACGTGAACTAAAAAGAGGGACAACTACCACAAGGAGCTCATCTAGAGCCAGCGCCGCTCCGGTCTCTCGTGGCCAGAACATCAGAAGGTATAGAAATGATGATATGAGTGATCCTCTTGAAGGGACATCAAGAGCATATTCACCGGAGGAGAGCAACGTGCACCATGACCAGGATTAGAGGGTCCCTGCCTCTAGCCAGGTAGAGGAGAGGGACAACCGGATCTATTGGACAGTGTGGATCCGATGGCCTGGCACATCTGACCCACAAAGATATACGGCTTTGGTTGATACCGGCGCTCAATGCACTCTAATGCCATCAAGGTATGTGGGAGCGGAACCCATTTCTATTTCTGGGGTGACAGGGGGATCCCAGGAGCTCACGGTACTGGAAGCTGAAGTGAGTTTAACTGGGAATGAGTGGCAGAAACACCCCATCGTGACTGGTCCAGAGGCCCCATGCATCCTCGGCATAGATTACCTCAGGAACGGGTACTTCAAAGACCCAAAAGGTTATCGCTGGGCTTTTGGGATAGCTGCTCTAGAGACAGAAGGCATCAGACAACTGAGTACCTTGCCTGGTCTCTCAGACAACCCTTCTGCTGTGGGACTACTGAGAGTTGAAGAACAACAGGTACCAATTGCCAGAGCAACAGTGCACCGTCGGCAATACCGCACCGACAGAGACTCTGTGGTCCCCATCCATACGATGATTCGTGAGCTGGAGAGCCAAGGGGTGGTCAGCAAGGCTCGTTCACCCTTTAACAGCCCCATATGGCCAGTGCGTAAGTCCAGTGGAGAATGGAGACTGACGGTGGATTACCGTGGACTGAATGAAGTCACGCCACCACTGAGTGCAGCCGTACCAGACATGCTGGAGCTTCAGTATGAGCTGGAATCCAAGGCAGCAAAGTGGTACGCGACCATTGATATTGCAAATGCGTTTTTCTCCATTCCTCTGGCAGCAGAGTGCAGGCCTCAGTTTGCCTTCACCTGGAGGGGTGTGCAGTATACCTGGAACCGATTGCCCCAGGGGTAGAAGCACAGTCCTACTATCTGCCATAGACTGATCCAGACTGTGCTAGAAAAAGGTGAAGCTCCAGAACACCTGCAGTACATTGATGACATCATTGTGTGAGGGAACACAGCAGCAGAAGTATTTGAGAAGGGACAGAAGATCATCCAGATTCTCCTGAAGGCTGGTTTTGCCATCAAGAGGAGCAAAGTCAAGGGACCTGCCCGGGAGATCCAGTTCCTGGGGGTAAAGTGGCAAGATGGACGGCGTCAGATTCCCACTGAAGTCATCAATAAGATCACTGCGATGTCTCCACCGACCAACAAGAAGGAAACACAAGCTTTCCTAGGTGCCATAAGCTTTTAGAGAATGCACATTCCTGAATATAGCCAGATTGTGAGCCCTCTCTACCTGGTTACCCGCAAGAAGAACAATTTCCATTGGGGCCCTGAACAGCAACAAGCTTTCGCCCAGATCAAGCAGGAAATTGCTCATGCGGTAGCCCTTGGTCCAGTCAGAACGGGGCCAGAAGTGAAAAACGTGCTCTACTCTGCAGCCGGGAACAATGGTCTGTCCTGGAGCCTTTGGCAGAAGGTGCCTAGTGAGACTCGGGGTCGACCACTGGGATTCTGGAGCCGAAGCTACAGAGGATCCGAGGCCAACTACACCCCAACAGAGAAGGAAATTTTGGCCGCCTATGAAGGAGTCCAAGCTGCCTCAGAGGTCATTAGTACTGAAGCGCAGCTGCTTCTGGCACCCCGACTGCCGGTGCTGAGGTAGATGTTCAAGGGAAAGATTCCTTCCACGCATCATGCCACCGATACTACTTGAAGCAAATGAATTACCCTCATTACACAGCGTGCCCGTATTAGAAACCTGAACCGCCCTGAGATTCTGGAAATTATAACAAACTGGCCTGAAGGTGAGACTTTTGGATTATCTTCTGAAGAAGAGGAGCAAGTGACACGTGCTGAGGAAGCCCCACCATATAATGAGCTACCGGAGAGTGAAAGACGATATGCCCTCTTCACCGATGGTTCCTGCCGAATTGTAAGCACTAACCGGAAATAGAAAGCTGCTGTATAGAGCCCCACACGACGAGTTGCACAAGCTACCGAGGGAGAGGGTGGATCGAGTCAAGTCGCAGAACTTAAAGCTGTCCAGCTGGCTTTAGATATTGCTGAAAGAGAGAAGTGGCCGAGGCTCTATCTCTACACTGACTCCTAGATAGTAGCTAATGCTCTGTGGAAATGGCTGGATCGCTGG